ACAGAGAGGAGAACATTCTGCAAGAGTGGGCAGCACATCACATGTTCTAATCAGCCTCCAGGGTGTGTGCTTGACCAGTGTGCAAGCACCATATTTGAGCCAACACCAACCTCTCTATTCAATCACTCAAGCATATGTGTTGGCTTCAAAAGCAGAGACAAAAGGGGCAGCTGTTCTTATTCACAGAAAGTAGGAAAAACATCAGTATGCAGAGATTTGGGACTTGGCAGTAATGGTGAGCCCACATGGTTCTGGCTAGTGTGTATAGGATCCAGCATATTGTGGAAAGTTGAGGCTCCCCACAAACCAATAACTCTCACTGGATTTCTAAAGGAGAACAGGTTCTTTACATGTGAGTCCCCATAAGAAAGCATTAAATTTCAAAACAATAACACATATAAACTAGCAAATTAGGAGTGAGCACTTATATCTTAAAATTAATTCTTTCTTGAGGATTCAGCTAAAGATATTTTCTTAGTGATGTAAAATGGAATTTAACATAAAATGGAGTTTTAGGTGTGTACCAATTCCATAAAGTTGCTTATACCTGCAATCTGGTATCTTCAAAGGCAATAGGAAAATAACTACATGTCTGCTTGAAATTTTGTGTTTGCATGAATCTGTTGAATATATTTTCCATTTTTTAAAAGACATAACAGCAGTCAACAGCCTAATGACCTACAGTGGAGTTTAGTAAACAGGGGTTTGTTAAAGTGTAGTTTGTAAACCAGTAGCAACAACAGCACATGGGATATTGTTAAAAATGCCAATTCTCTCACAAGGTCAGGAATTCAAGACCAGCCTGGCCAACATAGTGAAACCCCATTTCTACTAAAAATACAAAAAATTAGCCTGGCATGGTGGTGCATGCCTGCCATCCTAGCTAGTCAGGAGGCTGAGACAGAAGAATCACTTGAACCCAAGAGGCAGAGGTTGCAGTGAGCTGAGATCGTGCCAGTGCACTCCAGCCTGGTTGACAGTGCGAGACTCTTTCTCAGGAAAAAAAAAGTATATATATATATATATATATACAAATTCTCAGGCTCCACCCCAGACTCCTTTCAGAAACTGTGTGAGGTACAATATTTTTAAACATCCTCTCCAGATAATTCTGATGCAAATTAAACTTTGATGTCCACTGCCTTACCAAAAGCAAAGCATTAGTAAACAATTTCTACTCTGTATTATTCTAAAATATTTTCTGGGGTGGGGGAGTGAATAGAGAGAGTCTCATAAAACATATAAGAACCCATTAAAATCTGACAGATTTAATCATTGTAATGGGTTTCTTCTAGCCAAGAAGATAAAAGCATAAGTTCCTTGGTCTGACGCAGAGTCTTTTCACAATGTTTGCCATCTATCTCTGCAACCTCATTCATTAGTTCAGCCATTTAGTAACTTAACTAGAATTCATTGAGTGCTTACTACATTTGGACACCAAGTAAGTAAATAGGAAAATACCAGTAACAATAGCAGACCACCCTAACTCCCAAATACTTAACATCCAGCCCCAGGCATTCAATTCCCTGGCCTTTGGCAATTCTGAAATGTGAACATGCTTTTCCTGTTCTAAAATGCTATGCCATTCCTGCTTCTTATTTCCACATCAGAAAGATTCTTTTACATCCTATAAGATCCAGCTCAAATTGATAAAGTCTTCCCTGACATCCTGGATAAGGTTAGTTACTTTATATATCGGGCTTTCACAGAAATACATTCATACTACTATTTTTACACCTATCACATGGTAATAGAAGCCATTTGTTTACATATTTTAAATCCACATCTGAGTATCAGAGACTGGCAAATTCAGGAAGTAGGAATTTGGAATATTTCTCATACGATACACGAGTGACTTGAAGTAAACATGTGGAAGGTCACTATAGAAAACTGAGCAAAATTTTAAAAAGTTCTACCTGTTTTAGTTTCTGTGGAAAGGTGAACAGTTCTACTTTAAACCAAAAATGTAGAGAGTAACAATAATTAGTAGTGAATGATGCATTAAATTTGAAATGTAATTGCTTAATATAGTGGTTTCTCAAAATTTGATCCATTTTCCATTGCTGAAGACTGAATACTAACAATTTGTCAATGATATTATATATGAGATTATTTGCAAGAAGTTGTACCAAGATAATCCTCCAACCTTAGGATTTTTATGAGGATAACAATAAAGAATTTTGGAATATCAATGTGACAATTAATGAAAAAGTGATTATCTTTGTGTCTAGCAAAAGATAAAATGCACAATGAAAAAAATCCTATATTGGCTATATTATGAAATTTTATCCTAAGAACGTTTCATCTAGATCCAATTCCAGTCAGAAAAGCTTTGAGACATTCTAGTACAACTTTCTCATTTTATGAATAAAGCAAATCAAGACTGAGAATAATAAAATATCTTGACTACGAAAATTCAGTTCTCCTTTCACTAGGCCAGAAACTCCTTCACCATATCTTCATGTCTGTTTTAGTTATCTATTACTGATGTGTCAATTCAGACTAACTTAGCAGCTTAAAAGAACACATATGCATTAGCTCATAGTTTCCATGGAAAAGAATTTCAAACCCAGTTTAGCTGAATTATCTGCATCAGTGTTTCTCACAAGATGATAATCAAAGTTTTGGCCAGGGCTGTGTTCTCAGCTGAGGCTTGGCTGGGAAGGATTAAATTCCAAGCTCCTTGAGATTGCTGGCAGGATTCCATTCTGTCTGTGTGTAGGACTGAGGGCTTTGGTTTCTGGTTGGCTATCTCTCAGCTCCTAGAGGCTGCCTGTAGTTCATTGTCTTGTGGACTTGAGGACTTAACATAGGCAGTCCACAACATTGGAGCTTCTTTCTTGAAATATGTAAGCAAGGGAAAGACTCCTGATGGGCAGGCCTTATATATAACCTGTATTAGTCTGTTCTCTCACTGCTATAAAGAAATACCTGAGACTGGGTAATTTATAAAGAAAAAAGGTTTAATTGGCTCATGGTTCCACAGACTGTGCAGGAAGCATGCCAGCTTCCACTCAGCTTCTGGAAAGCCGTTAGGAAACTTATGATCATGGCAGAAGGCAAAGGGGGATCAAACACCTCACATGATCAGAGCAGGAGGAAGGGGGAGGGGTACTACACACCTTTAAACAGCCAGATTTCATGAGGGCTCTTCACAAGAACATGAGAAACTGCCACCATGACCCCATCACCTCCTACCAGGCCTCACCTCCAGCACTGAGTATTACAATTTGAGATAATATTTGGGCAGGGATACAGATCCAAACCATATCATAATATTATGCAGCTAATCCTGTACATACATTGCATACCTCCTATCCCTCTTTCTTTATTCTATTGGTTAGAAGCAAGTCATATGGCCATACCTGTGATGGTTAATACTAAGTGTCAACTTGACTGGATTGAAGGATACAAAGTATTGATCCTGGGTGTGTCTGTAGGACTGTTGCCAAAGGAGATCAACATTTGAGTCAGTGGGCTGAGGAAGGCAGACACACCCTTCACCTGGTGGGTACCAGCTAATCAGCTTCCAGCAAATATAAAGCAGGGAGAAAAACATGAAAAGATGAGACTGGCCTAGCCTCCTAGCCTACATATTTCTCCTGTGCTGGATGCTTTCTGCCCTCGAACACTGGATTCCAAGTTCTTCAGTTTTGAGACTGTGACTGGCTCTCCTTGCTCCTCGAGCTTGCAGGCAGCCTATTGTGGGACTTTGTGATCATGTAAGTTAATACTTAATAAACTGCCCTGTGTGTGTGTGTGTGTGTATGTGTGTATTATGTATATGTGTATCTATATAGATACATATATACACATATATATATACATATATATATGTGTGTATCTATATGTATATGTATATGTATATGTATCTACATATATATGTATATAGATACATATATACACATATATATATACATATATATGTGTGTATCTATATAGATACATATATACACATATATACATATATATGTAGCCTTTATATGTATATATGTAAAAATTATATGTAGTCTTTATATATGTATAAAGAAATTATATGTATGTATTATATGTAGTCTTTATATATAAAATTATATGTAGTCTTTATATATAAAGACTACACATAACATATAAAGAAATTATATGTAGTCTTTATATATATATGTGTGTGTGTGTGTGTGTGTGTGTGTGTGTGTGTATACCTACAGATATATATATACATATAGATATACACACACACAGGAAAGTTCATTAAGTATTATATATATATATACACACACATATATACATATACACACATGTGTATATATATATACACACACGTTTTATATATACTTATATACACATATATACATACACACACATATGTGTATACACACACACACACACACACGTTTTATATACACTTATATGTATTTTAGTTCTGTCCTATTAGTTTCGTCCCTCTGGAGAACCCTAACTGATACAATACTCAAATTTTTAAAGTATGCAATACCGAAGAGAGGGATTATGGAGGCCTTCCTAAAGTCTGCCTGCCACAGGGTCTGATAGAACTTCCATTTCTTTAAACATCCCACCCCTTTATCACTGACTGATTCTTCTTCATTTTTTGCTTCTAGCAATCAGCTAACTATGATGCTTTTGAAAAACAATTTACTAACCATCATTATTATTCACAGGTTAATTATTTTCTACCCTGAGGATGAGTGTCATTTGGATACAAAACATTTCTAATCTCCCCAATTTAATGATAACACTTTCTGTTAATTTATTATTTCTTTTCTGCTGTTCTCCAAGTGTTAACAAATATAACAGTATAACTGTTAATACTTTATTGCATCCCCTGCTTTACCTAGCCAGATTTTATATTTATATCCTCTGTCTTGAAATCTGAATGTATCTTTTTTGAGCCATTCCTTTTTCTGATTCTCCCAGGTTTTTTTCTTATTAAATGCTTTTTAAAAATCATTTTAGAAACTATAGAAAAATTGAAAGAAAGGTACAGAGAGTTCCCAAGTTACCCTGCCTCTCCAATACACAGTTTCCCCATTATCAGCATTCTCCATCAGAGTAACACATTTGTTACAATTGATGAATCTACATTTAGACATCATTATCACTCAGAGTCCATAGTTTACATTGTGTTTTACTGTTCCTGTTGTACATTCTTTTGGTTGGTAACAATAACATGTATCTACTATTGAAGCATCATACATCGTATTTTCACTGCCCTAAAAATTCACTGTGATATGTCTACCCAGCCCTTCCTCCCTCCTTTCTAAACCCTAGCAACTACTTATCCTTTTACTGTCTCTATCATCTTTTCCAGAATGTCATATAGTAGAAATTATATGTAGTCTTTTCACATTGGCTTCTTTTACTCAGTAATTTACATGTAAGTTTTCTCCATGTCTTTTCATGGCTTGATAACTCATTACTTTGTATCACTGAACAATATTTCATAATTTGGATGAACCACAGTTTATATATCCACTTACCTCCTAAAGGACAACTTGGATGCTTCCAAATTTGGGCAATTGTGAATAAAGCTGCTATAAATGTCAGTGTGCAGATTGTTGTGTGGACTTAAGTTTTCAACTCATTTGAGTAAATACCAAGGAGCACAATTGCTGGGGCATTTGCTAAGAGTATATTTAGTTTTCTAAGAAACTGCCAAACTGTCTTCCAAAATTGCTATACCATTTTGCATTTTCACTGGCAATAGATGATAGTTCGTTCCTCTTCCTCCACATTCTTGCCAGCATTTGATGCTGTCACTGTTCTGGATTTTGGGCATTGTGAAAAGTGTGTACAGCTATCTCATTTTTATTTTAATTTACATCTCCCTGATGACGTATGATGTTGGACATCTTTTTATCTACTTATTTGACATTTGTATGTCTTCTTTGGTGAGGTGTCTGCTAAAATCTTTGGCACATTTTTAATGTTGAGTTTTAAGGGTTCATTTGTGTTTTAGATTGCAGTCCTTTATCATATATGTCTTTGGCAAATTTTTTCTTCCATACTGTTGGTTTTCTTTTCATTCTCTTGACAGTGTTTTTCACAGAGTAAAATGTTTTAATTTTAAGAAAAAGCATTTTGTTAATTCTTTCTTTCATAGATTGTGTAAAGATGGTGTCATGTCTAAAAAAGTCATCACCAAACCAAGGTCATCTAGATTTTCTCTTATGTCACCTTCTAGGAGCTTTGTAGTTTTACATTTTTACATTTAAATCTGTGATTTATTTTGAGTTAATTTTTGTGTAAAGTACAAGGTCTATGTTTAGATTCATTCTAGATTCATGTGGATGTCCAATTTGTTGAAAAGCAACTTCATTTGTTGAAAAGACTATTTTTCCTCCATTGCATTGTCTTTGTTTCTGTAACAAAGATTAGTTTGACTATATTGTGTGGCTCTATTTCTGGACTCTCTATTCTGTTCCGTTGATCTACTTATCTAATCATTCACTAGCAACACGTTATCTTAATTAATGAGAGTAAGTCTTGAAGTTATAGTGTATCAGTGCTCCAACTTTGTTTTTTTTTTCCCCAATATTATGTTGTTTATTCTGAGTCTCTGCCTTTCCGTATAAAGATTATAATTAGTTTGTTGATATTCACAAAATAATGTGCTGGCATTTCTATTTGAATTGCATTGAATTGATAGATCAAGTTTAGAAGAACAGATATTTTGAATTATTGAATAATCTTATCCATGAACATCGTATATTTCTCCATTTATTTACTTCTTTGCTATTTTAACAGTTTTGTAATTTTTCTCATACAGCTCTTGTACATATCTTGATAGATTTATTCCTATGTATTTCATTTCTGTGGTGCCAATATGAATAGTATTATGGTTTTAATTTCAAATTTTACTTGTTAATTGCTGGTGTATAGGAAAATGATTGAGCTTTGTATATTAATCTTGTATCCTGCAACCTTGCTACAATTGCTCTGAGTTCACAGTTTTTTTGTTGATTTTTTTCAGATTTTCTACATCAAGAATCATATAGTCTGCAAAGACAGTTTTATTTCTTCCTTCTCAATCAGCATACCTTTAATTTCCTTTTCTTGTCTCATTTCATTAACTATGACATCCAGTAAAATGTTGAAAAGAAGTGTTGAAAGGGGACATATTTATGTTCCTGATCTTAGGAATTTTCTAGTTTCTTACCATTAAGTATGATGTAGCTTTTTCTAGATATTCTTTATTAAGTTGAAGGTTTTTTATCTTACATTTCTAATTTAATGCCTCAAGATTTTTTACCCATAGAAGAAATTGTTCTTTTCATGTCCATTTTTGCTACAGTTGGGTTCGTGGTACATATTCTTTCTCTATGCTGTATCTCAGATTGAATCTTCCTCCCTATTGTCACCACTGCTGTCTCATTCCATCTCACCTGAATAGTATAATAGCTTTCTCCTCAGTTCTGTTGAATGTGCTTCCTCCCTCGTCTGTTCTGTTGTTCTACACATTAAAGTCACACTTTTCCTCCTACAGCACTGTGTTTATTTTATTACTTGGCTTTCTTTTTCCTGTCATATTAAAACTAAATATTTAGAATCCATTATTGATTCGCTCCAATCTACTCTCTCAATTTTTCACTGTGCCTGGAGTAAGCGTTTAAGATTTGCAGGAAGGAAGGAATGAAAGAGGAAGGAAGGGGAAAAAAAATGATGCAAGGAAGGCAGGAGGTTCAAAGTTGTAACTTTTGTATTTCTGTTTTCTCTCCATGCATGCTTTCCAAATTGCACTATAGAAAACATTTCTTTTATTCCAAGCATGTCATTATACTTGTTTTCACCTCCATTATTTTCCTATGCCACATTTGGATTGTTCAACAATCCTGGATCGCTTCTATGAAGAACAATCAAAATCACCTCTCTATCCCCATTGACCAGATGGTAACCTGTGCTCTAATCACTGCACTCTTGGACCACTTCAACTTAATTCTCATTTAACCTCACTGCTCTCAGTGTAATCAGCAGAAAATACTGCCGCCAAAACCAGCTTTATTGCCTGCCAGCCCTCAAGCCCTGTGTTTGCTCGCTGTCACTAGTGTACAAAATTCAAATTCTTCATAATTGATTTTCTGGCTCTTCAGATGAGTTCCTCTGCTGAGACTTCAGGCAAACTAAGGTCCATTACCCCCCAAATTGTCTGCACTTTTATTGTCAGATTCAGTAGCCACCGTTTCCCAAATTGATTTACAAATTTACATTTTTACTTTTTTTCTGAATTATCCAAGTTCACTTTCATTTATAACTCTTTAGAAGTCTACTCTGGCCAAATAAGGATAGAAAAAGTCACACATCCAGCATTATCCTTAGAAAAAAAATGACCTATTTGGTTTTTCCATTCCAAGATTATCACTTTATTCATAACAGGAGAGACCCTCTACCACACCACCTCCTCCTACAACACAAAATAAGCATAGCCAGGAAATTAACAAAGAAACAAATACACAGTAATAAATTGAAATGTATTTTACAATATAGTTTTTTTTTGAAGTTAGATCTTAAGAAAATCACATCACATTTTTCTAACTTCTTTCCTGTGTCAGTACACTGTGGTTGCTCCATAATCATCAAATGATAAAAGTACATTAAGTTATATTTTGATGAAGAATAAAAATATGAAATTTGACATTTGAAAAAAGCTGAATATTTGTCTATTGTTCTATTAAAAGGACCAAAAATCACTTCTATTATAAAATAAAGTACTACATGTATTAGTATATTTTACTTTCTTAAAATACTGGTTTAACTCCTATTAGAACATGTAAGCTATAATTTACAATGCATCAAAGAAGAAATATTCCACTACTGTTTTTTTAAAAAATATTTTCATGAGAACTAAAAGCAGGATGAAAGTAATAAACAAAAATAAGTTTGTGGTTTTTCTCAGATCTTCATAAATTGACTTCAGAGTTTGTAGATGATACATAGTCATTGAGACAAAGTATTCTCTGTAAACTACTATTCCTCACCCTCCCATATCATTATATAAAAATAAGCAAAGCTCTTTGAGATAAATGAGCACAAAATGGATTAACTTTATATAAGTTTTTTTTTCTCACAGACAGTCAGAAGTTTTACTATTTTAATGAGGATTTTATCACCTCACACATAAAATTATATAACACTAGGGTCGGGTGTGGTGGCTTACGCCTTTAATCCCAGCACTTTGGGAGGTCGGGGTGGGTATATCATGAAGTCAGGAGATGGAAACCGTCCTGGATAACATGGTGAAATCCTGTCTCTACTAAAAATAAAAATAATTATCTGGATGTGGTGGCATGCACAGTCCCAGCCACTTGGGAGACTGAGGCAGGAGAATTGCTTGAACCCGGGAGGTGGCAGTTGCAGTGAGCCAGGATTGTGCCACTGGACTCCAGCCCAGGTGACAGTGCAAGATTCCATATAAAAAAAAAGAATTATGTAACATGAACAAGTCAGTTATGTGATCCCAGCTCCAGTAGTAACACAAGATGAATTAGGCATTTGATATAGGAAACATATTTTATGGTTTTAAATACCCAACCTATTGTTGGAGCATTTAGTATAATTTGAACTCATTACAGTGGGCATTACACATCATAATGCAAATGTTAAAGAACACTGATCTAGCCAGTACTTTATACTGAACTTCTATCTCAAATAATATTCTTAAAAATTTTCCATTTGGAAGTGTGCTAAGTAAGAACAGGGTCATTTGTATACAATTATCCAGCCTTGAGGAGTACAGTTATGAGCCACATGACATTTCAGTTAACCACAGACCGCATATGCCATGTTGGTCCCATTAGATTGTAATACAGTATTTTTCCTGTGCCTTTTCTAGGTTTAGATTTGTTTAGATACACAAATACCATTGTATTACAATTGCCTACACCACTCAGTACAGTAACGTGTTGCACCCATTTGTAGTCTAGGAACGATAGGCTATACCACATAGCTTAGGCTATAACATCAAGGTTTGTGTTAGGACATGCCGTGACGTTCACACAATGACAGAATTACCTATAGATACATTTCTCAGAACCATCACTAAATGATTCATGACTGTTTACTATAGGTTGAAGAGAGGCATTTAAACCACCTATTACAAGATGATGTGGTAGGTAGTGTTATTGAAAAAAAGCCAGATAATAGGGTGACTCAAATAAGGAATACTTAACTCATCCTTGGAAAGTGAGAGAAGGCAAAGTGGTGAGGTACTTCCGTCTGAGCCTTGAAGGCTGAGGAGTTATTCAGAGTAGTAGGTGAAGAGGAGAAAGGAAAGGGCAGGCATTTCAATCAAACAGTTTGGCATTTGTGTGGCTGGAGGATAGGGAGAGTTATAACAGAGGAAGCCAAAGAGATTCCAGATGCTGGATGTGGACGCATTAGCACACTGTTGTTTCTATGTCCGGTTAATTAGAGTCTTCCTGTCTTAGGACCCATGGAGAAAACGTACCTTATGAATCCACAGGGACACAGTATACGAAATAAATTCCTCTGAATTGCTTCTGTTTCAGTCCTACCTACTTGCTTGTAAACTGTAAGAAAAATAAAGGTCCATTTTAAAAATAATTTGTAAAACACAATTTTTAAAAACCTGTCATTGCCATAAAAATTAGTAACCCAATTCAATTACCTTAAATTTGTATATTGTACACCCCCATTCCAAGTGTTTAAGGTTTTAAACATGTGTTTAAAAGCACATGTTTGTGTATGTGAATATTTAATGTGGAGTGTGTGTGTGTGTGTGTGTGTGTGTGTGTGTATACATATATTTACTGAGCATTATCTTTAGCAGAAAATAATGGAATGTTCTGCACCCTGGCATTCATGATTCTGTTGTCCTGGCACATATGGTGAGTAGGAATAGTACTTGAGGCTCACTCATGCAGTATCTTTAATGAAACCATCACAATCAGACACTCTGCAAAGCAGTATTCTGTTCTTCTGTTCATTAAATACATCCCCCATCCCTTTCAACTTTGCATAAATTGCACAGGCAGTGTTATTTACCAATTGGAACCGGCAACAGTAAATTAGCACTGGCTGATTATGAGACTTTTGCCCAGTGAGCTTTATGTTCCCCCATTGAATCCATTTATTGTTGCCATTCCTGCTTTGGAATATGACTTCCCTAGAAAGCATTTCTTCATTCATTCAGCCTCTGTGCTGGAAACAGACAACAGCTTGAAGCCAGCAGCTGCTCTTGAACAAAGCAGGTAGAGAGACAAGAAAGGCTGTTGAATCCATAACAATAAGCGCATCATGACATAATTACAGTAAATCTCCAGAGTGACCTGCACATACTCAATGCCATATGGTTATTTTTGGTACTAGAAACGTGTAACTGAAAACCATAGTTTAGTCACTTTCTGAAGCACTCCTGCTGGCATGAAATTGATTTTTTACCTAGAAAATTAACATGAATATTTATTGACAGAAGTGAAGACTATATCTGCACAGTCAGCTAAGAATGCCAGTAAATTTAATAAAAATATTTGAGTTTTGTTTTACCTAAAAGTATGTGAATAAGTGAATAGAAGCTTTTGTTTTCTTTTGTTACGGAGTTATTGACTTTATTCGTTTGTTTGTTTTGCTTTTCAAACTCTAGTAGTACCTTTATAATATGTAATATATGCCCTTAAACCATCTCCTTTTCCTCTTCATCCTTTTTTTAATTGGATAGTGTTTTTTCAGTAGTGCATGGAAAGACTGTTCTTTGTTTCTTTTAATGTCTTCATTTGACTTTAACTAGGTTAATAGGATTTACTGCTACTGTAGCCTGCCCAGAAAAAAAAAAAAGTAGAACCCCAAAACAGATTTTCAATATGGATGATACCTTGTGGTCCATCAGGATTAATAAAAAACCATCTCTGCCTCTGCCTCAGAAAATACTTTAGACTGCAGAAGATTTAGATACAAACATATATGTCAGAGAGATTGACCAGCTCCGAATACCAGCCGTCTAAACTCACTTAAGGGTTTCTTAGGGCAAATCTAGTCTTACCAGGACAATAGAATGAATCTCAGACAAATATTTTAAAAATTTCATCACTCTATTGCAAGTATTTTCTATGAAATCCACATACTGATTTGATTCTGAGAGCTTTAAGAAGGTTAAATATTGCTCTGTGCATTCACATAATGCAATGGTATCATATTGATAACAATAGCCCCGGTAACCAAATTTTAAGCCATGTCTATTTTAAACCAAGAGTTCTGGCAGATATAAAGAAATCCGCTTTGTGACTTGAAAGGACATTTATTTTCAGAGGACCATATTGCATTAAAAAATATTTCATTTTCCTATTACCTTAAGTGAAAAAGAAAATGGAACCCAAACTTTGCTAAAGTGGGAAGGTTCCAAGAACATATAGGTTCATATAGGAATGGGGACTGCAGGAACAGAAATACGTGCTGTTTTTTCTCACTTATCAGAAGGGCCATGGCCAACACTCCTCTAACTAAAGACTTGTTAACAACAGAAAAGCATAACAAATTTATTTAATCAACATTTTATGTAGCATGATATCATTAAAAAATGAAGACCCAAAGATGCAGGGGAAACTGTTTTTATGCTTAGGTTCCAGGAAGAATGGACAACATTGTAGACATGTGATTGGACATAGCAGTGTGATCTAATGGCAGTAGACTGAGAGGGAAACCCATCTGTCTGTTCAGATTCTTCTTGGTCTCTCTGTGTAGCATTTCATCCTCGCAAGTGGGAGGGAGGACCCCGTGAGGCTCTTCTGGGAGAAGGAAGAGAGTGATCATTCTAGATTTGATTGCTTGCTTTGGAGGAGAGGGATTCTAGTTTTCATGACCTGCCTTGGAGAAGAGGAATTCTATTTGTTGATTCATTTGGCATGATAAAGTGAAATGGGAGACAGGAGGAAAGGAGGTCAGAGAGAGAGTTTGCTTCTGAGGCTGCTTCTGAGGTCTTCTAATTTCCTTTCATTAAAAGTACTCAGCATGCCTAAGTGCTATATTTTGGGGCATCATTTTCCAAGTCCCAGAAGGGCCACATACAAACTAGTTTTGCTTCAAAGTTTTCTCCCTGCCACAAGCTACCTCCCATTCCCTGAGATCTGCGAGATTGAAAATAGGCCTCTAGATTTGCTGTCTATGGAGCAGAAAATAGGTGTTCCTCTCATATGCCTGATATTGCTTCATAGTTGGCCTTCCTTGTGCCATCATCAAGGGAAAACACATATATCTCCCATAACAGAAACAAATGCTTAGCAATCTTTGTCACCGTGACAAGTTAAATTGCTGAAAATTGCTGAAACTCCGACCATGTTTAGGTATCTTCTTGAGAATCAAAAGCAACTAACGTATTTTCTGTGCTTGATTGTATAGATTTATAAAAAAATAAAAGGATCTATTTTTTTATGGGAAAATAAGTAGCTGTATAGGTCAAGAAGATTGAAATAACAGAATTTAGGGAATTTATTCAGCATTTGAAACAATTAGTACTTATTTAGGCCACCGTTATTTGTTTGACAGTTGTATGAATGTGGGTTCTGAACAAGCTCACTTGGGATTTTTTAATAAGTGACTCAGTAGCAAAGAAAACTAAAAGATAGAATTTTTTCTATTGACTCACTGCATGACCTTCAATGGCTTATTTGTACATAGCTTTTGTTACCTCTGTTATAAAATAAAAATCATAATATTAATCTGTTTTTCCCCAGGGTATTCTTTAAATCTTGTAAAGTTTTTTTAAAGTTAAAGTGCAGGATAATCATTAATGGTCTAAGAGTCAGAACACATAACCTGGGCATCTGCAGAATCCCTGGGTCTTAAAATGGCCAAGACAAATCGACCAGACTTTCAGAATGTAAAGGTAATGAATATGACAACAGTAGTGGCGGGGTGAGCTGTGGGAATCAGAAGAAGGAAAAAATGTCTCTTGTTGAAAAACACAATTAAATGTAATTAGATGATGTTGTTTCTGACACCTAATCCGTGGTTAGTTACTCAATAGACTTTTAATCTTGTGGCTCATTAACTATGTAATACCTAACTTATATTCTAAGATTTTCATCATAATTTGTTTCTTTATATAAAACATCTATTATTTTTTCATACTGCAGTTATAAGTACACTTCTATGTTTTGGTTTTTTTTTGGTTTTGTTTTTTTTTTTTTTTACAGAGTCTCACTCTGTCAACGGGCTGGAGTGCAGTGGCGTGATCTCAGCTCACTTCAACCTCCGCCTCCTAGATTCAAGTGTTTCTCTGCCCCAGAATCCCAAGTAGCTGAGACTACAGGCACATGCCACCATGCCCAGCTAATTTTTGTATTTTTAGTAGAGACAGGGTTTCACCATTTTGACCAGGGTGTTCTTGATCTCTTGACCTTGTGATCCACCCACGTTGGCCTCCCAAAGTGCTGGGATTACAGGCATGAGCAACTGCATCCAGCCCAATTCTGTGTCTTTATCATGCTGCAGCTCTCCTAAATGATAAACATTAGGACAATTTAATATTTACTCTGTATAAGCTATACTTTTATAAACTCCAGCAGAAACTGATGCAGGATTTCAGCCTGCAACTTAAGTGTAGGTTAATAGGCATTTAAAAAAAAATGTATAGCACTTTAGCTAAGTTTTTCAGTCTATAGTGTTTCTGCTTTACATGCTACATTTTATTATTCCTATAAAGCAATCATTTAGTAATATTTCTGTTGTGTACTAACAGGGATCAGTAAAAGATGTGTGCCCTAAAATATTTTCTCTAAGAAGAATCCAGGCTTTTATTTAGTCTTGCCATTAAAACTCCTCTGTGTTACACTCTGGCACCACATAGACTTGAAAACCATCTCGGGGCTGGTCTGCCTAAATGAGCCAGTGAGAATGTGCATGTATCCTACACTCAGAAGTCTTAGTTTGATGGGGTTGTACCATTTCTGACTTCATTAAAAGCACACCTGTGACTGAACAGGTGATGAAACATGGAGCAAACACACAAAGACAGATGGATTAAGATTGGCATAATTGTAGTCTTACTTCATTATTATTTTCCTAGTCTCCAGGTGATTTCTATTTTTCTTTATAGCATCACTTGTCTCAGAAAGTCCCAGTGGACCTTGAAACCTAAGAGAAAGATGCATCTTGGTTTTTATCTAAGCCGGTTTGCAGTGTGGGTACTTCAGAGGGTTGTGCTATGAAAAACCAATTAGCTTCTTGAGTCTGGGGTGCCATTTAAAATATTTAAGCTACTATGCTTCATCATAAAATAGACCTTTTTAATTTTTTATGTTGGAAATTTCCACTAAAAGTGTTAGCATAAAAAAAGTACAGCTTCAGGGAAAATATGAAAGGCTTGGGAAGAAGTAGTGAAAGTCTGTGTTTCCCTGAAGGAAATTTGAAATCAGCTCCACTGAAATATAATAAATACAATGTCATGAAGTACCCTGTGCTTAATTTTTAAATAATTGGTATCATTAAGTAACATAACAATGACATAGCAACACCAGTTCTGCATAAGTAGACAGGCAGTGTATCTTAGATTTACAGCCAACTTACAATCTTGCAGGGTAATTGCTTTGCTCTCTAGAGAAGAAGTCCTTTTCTCATTTCCTTTGACTGTCATTCCTATGCCGTAATCATCTTAATGTGATTGTAATTTATGTATTATGTTTTTCAAAGCTATATCAGATTTGCCATTTTAATTTCCCTGTCCAACTCCAAAGTTTCAGTGGAAAAAAAGTCATTGTCGATTTACAAAAAATCGGGGGAAGTTATTTAGGAACAAGAGAATTTCTACAGAAGATCATCATGTTCATTTATGCATCCCATAGTTTTGTCACTGCCAGTAATAACACAGAATGTTTTCTAGAAGGGTGCAGAGGTTAGTGTAGGGTAAAGTTGAGAGTTAACTTACTTGTGATCCAGGCCTAGCAATTCCACTTATTAACTGTAGGGCTTTGAGCAAATTATCTAACCTTTTGTTCCTTCACCTTCCCTATCTACAAAATGAGATTGCAATCTAGTTAGTGTAGTTGTATATCCACCCCAAAGCTTAGTGGCTTAAAGCAATAATTTATTAATTACCTCTCATAGTTTGGTGGGTTAAGCTTGGCTGTGTGGTTCTGGCTTAGGGAATTCAGTCACATGATGTTCGGGCCTGAGGGGAAGTCATATGGACTGAGTATTCAAGGTGACACGCAATTGAAGCCAGCTGCTGCTGGGGCTTAGCTGTAATGTGAACCAGAGCGCCTCCTGATGGCTCCAGCGTGTACTTCAGCTTCTCATAACATGGCAGCTCAGTTTGGAGTAGGGAGGAAACCTATGAAAGTGCCTTCCTACTGACCCAAGAGGAGCCTGTAAGGACTTTATGAACCAGCCTTATTCTATGGTTTGGATCCTTGTCCCTGCCCAAATCTCATGTCAAATTGTAATCTCCAGTGTTGGAGGTGGGGCCTGGTGGGGGGTAATTGGATCATGGAAGCAGTTTCTCATAAATGGCTTAGCACTATTCCCTTGGTGCTGTTCTTGTAATAGTGAGTTTTCATGAGATCTGGTTGTTTAAAAGTGTGGAGGATCTCCCCACTCTTTTGCTGCTGCTCCAGCCATGTAAGACATGCCTGCTTCCCTTTGCTTTCCACCATGATTTACTTTCCTGAAGTCTCCCTAGAAGCAGAGTAGATGCGAGCATCATGTTTCCTGTACAGTCTGCAGAATCATGAGCAATTAAACTTATTTGCTTTATAAATTACCCAGTCTCAGGTATTTCTTTATAGCAATGCAAAAACGAAATAATACACCTTAGACGCCATAGATTAATGTAATGGGAAATTAGAGTCTACATTCTGATGGGAAGGGTGGCAAGATCACATTGAGAAGTGCATGTGGAATGGGAGAAATCATTATTTTTATCAACAAACAAATGGGGGAACAATTAAGTTTCCTTTTCTTTTTTTTTTTTTTTGCGCTTTGCTAGTTAAGTTTTAGAATCCAGCAGAATTCTCTGCTCAGAAAAAATACTTAAAGAACTGTATATTTATAAAGATGATTCATCGATATATTTTTAATTTCAGATTTTGATGACTTCCAACACACCTCATTACTAATATTCAGAATAACCTGTTTTCACTCTTTAAGTGAGTGACTCTAATTGTTGTTCTACACATGAACATTATGGGAATTAGATGAAAAGTCAGACAAAAAAAATCATAGAAGTCCCAAGGGAAAATAACTCATGCATTAAATATTTTAATAGGATCTCACCAAGATGTGGGAAAGAACATTTAAAAATACACTTTCCTCTGAATTGATTAGTATTACTTCTGTGCACTCAGAATCTCATTAATTAAAACTCAAAATGTTGAGTTACATCAGCAACTTTTTGCCAAAAGCAAGAGGTTCATAACAACTGAGCAGTTTATTATAGTCACAGGTAGAAAACTTTATGTCCAAAACACAGTTCAGTCCCTTGTAAATGTCAGATTACAAACCTCAGGCTGCAAATGGGTAACAGTATTTTATTTATACCAGCCTTCTTCAAAAATGAACTAATCATTAAAGATAAATGATAGAAGCTATAACTGACCAAAAATAGGAAGTTGTGCCCCCCAAAACGGTTACTAGCCAGCTCACTGGCTTTTATCTAGAGACTAACTTATAAGCATTTGGAGCAAGGGGAATATAAACTTTCTGACATGAACCTAGAGAGAAAAATACACCTAAAAAAATTGAGTGCCCTAATGCAGAAGCTCATGTTCCAACCTCAGATAACGGATTAGGGTGCTTTCGTTAAATTTCAATACAAAGGAAAATACTAGGCTCTTCATATAGAAATTGTTTGTTTCCTGACATACACACACACACACACACACACACACACACACACACCATAAAAGAGACAATATCTATGTATATATTATATAGAAAATACAACACACTCATAAATATTTTAATTAGAAAATTTTAAAATAATGTTCTAGAATTTTGAAACTTTGGAGACTAAGTTCTGTAACATTTCCAAAACTAATCTTATTATAAAATATTTTATTTATTCATAGACTATGATCTTCTAGAATTTTTGGCATAAAAATAAAATCCTAGTTGATAAAACTAAGGAGATATGTATATAAAGAGACATGTACACACACACACACACACACACACACAGGATTGCATACATATAAAAACCTGAGCTAAAAGTTTGGAATTTTATTTCTTTTTTTATGATGTTTTACCTTTTCTTTTCTTTGTTTGATGATTTCTGTTGTAATACTATTAGAAAGGATGTTAAATTGTGTGATCTTCCGAGGTCTTTCTTAAGGACAATTAATTAATAATGACTTTCTTTGTTTGAGCTGCTCAACTTAAACATCTGTCCATGTGAGTTTTATACATAATGTTGAAAAATACTCAGAAGAGTATTATGTATGTATTTTTTGTGATTTTTTTCTCTATCAACTAAAACATTGATATGACATTATAAAAATTAAACAATATAAACTGGCACAATAAAAACTAAACTGAAAAACAACTAATTAAAGGAAGCAGAGAAGTAAGTGATAGTTTCTCAGGATAAAAAGAATCATGACAATAGATATAAAGAAAATTTTATTTTTCTAATCAACAGGAACATACATTCATTTACATATGTTGCTCTTCTTTGTGTCATTACCAAAGTTTGAGTCTTGGTATTTTTTACATTAAGAACCTAGGAATTTGGGGGAACTACTTTTGATCAGAACCAGTTCTGCCATGAGGATCAGTCAGGTCATTTTTGTATTTATCAAGATTATTGCATGACCTAATAAAACATGTCTGTATTTATTTACTTATTTATTTGAGACAGAGCCTCACTCTGTCACCCAGACTGGAGTGCAGTAGTGTGATCTTGGTTCACTGCATCCTCCGCCTCCCAGGTTCAAGCAATTCTCTGCCTGAGCCTCCCAAGCAGCTGGGATCACAGGTGGCCGCCACCATGCCCAGCTAATTTTTGTATTTTTAGTAGAGACAGGGTTTCACCATCTTACCCAGGCTGGTCTTGAACTCCTGACCTCAGGATCCACCTGCCTCAGCTTCCCAAAGTGCTCAGATTACAGATGTGAGCCACCACGCCTGGAAAGAACATGTCTTAATAAAGACATCACAAATGTTTAGGATATTTTGAGAGTAAGGTTAGTCCTGTCCCTCCATCCCAGGTTGGGCTGGGCATTTGTGCTAACCTCTGGAACTACCCTGAGCCCACAGAGGAGAACTATGGAGATTGAAAGACCTTAACCATAGCTACAATTTGAACCACCGCTTTGTTCAAAACATTCCTCATGGAAGAATAGTTTGAAGTTAGGTTACATTGAACTGACAGATACAAATAATTTCAAGTACTGTTATATATACATGTTTGCCTATCTATCAAATATGCATGATGAAAATGACAAAATATCAAAATCAGGCATGGGGAGCATTCCAGCTATTTTAAAATTCTTTTTGAATGTTTAATATTGATTTTTGTATGGATAAATAGATCATATTTTGAATTTCATGAAAATGCCAACCTTATAAATCGTAAATTTGAAACCTTATAAATTATAAATCCAAAACATTTTAGAATGTGATATATTTACACTTAAGAAAAACAGCAAAAAGACACTTGTGTTGACTTGAATTATTAGTAAGCATTGTGAATTATCTCCATGAATTCCATATCTGGCTAACATGAACAGCCAGCAAATTCTTGCCAACACCGTTTTCATTTTCTTTCACAATGGGGATTTTTTAGATACATTACAGGGTTTAAGTAAAGTGTCAGAAGTAGTCAAGAAAACGTAGAGGAGGGGGAGAAAAAGTCTCAGGATACATGTTTCCCACTTCCATACTCTTCACACTCCGCATTTCCCCACCTTGAGGCTAGTATTGTTCTTTCTCCATTAAATGATCAATGCTTGTTAGCCTTCTGAGAGCCACAGAATGTAAAATTTTGAGAGCCCAACTGCCAGCACAAATGCCCTGACATTGGTCATTATAATTCTGTGCCTTAAAGGCAGTCAGAGCCTCTTTCATCATTAAAAACGCAAACCTAGCATTGAAACGACAGTGACATTACTTCAATGCTATGTGGGTAATTTTCCAAATAGAATATATTCCTTAAATATATGGTTTCATAAAGTTAAATTTGGCTCACTGCTTTATTCACATGATAACATTTTTATTTGAAAACAAATTAAAAATAAGCTCTGTGGGCTTAGAAGTCATCTTGGGCTCATGTGCTGGATAAAGTAAATGTTGCATGCAAAAAAAGGGCATTACTACTTGTTTCCATCATTCTACTGGGTGTATTTAAATTCAGATTCAGCCAGTACTTTGTCTGTAAACAAAGTCATAAACCTTCCACAAATGTATTGTCACCAAAAGACAAAGCTACAGTCTGGAACAAACCAATGATCCTTCAAGACCACCTCTGACTGGGTTTACTGTGGGAATTTTCAAAGGTAGGTATAATATGTCCTCTAAGGTGGGAAAGGCAAAAAAAAAAAAAAAAAATCCCTTACATGAGAAAATTTCTTCCGGACCTTAGAGAATCAACATAAACTTTAAATCCTGAGTGCTGATTATCGCTTAGACTCTTTCCTTACTTGGCTAACTTTGGAAATTGCCTGTAATGACTGTATATAGCAGAAAACTCAATATTTAGTTGGACTATTTAATTCGCACATTTCTTGATTTTCATATATTGTTTCAATAATTACATTAATCCATGCATTCAACTGTACTTTTTAGTCTGTGGTACTATAGAGAAGAAAACAAGATAAGGGGAAAAAAATACCCAGAATATTGTGCAGACTAAAAACTGGAAGCTCTGGCAAGGGTGTGGAAAATTAGTCCCATGAGCACAAGCCTAGTCATAAAGGTTAATGCCTTTTGCTAAGAAGTAAAGAAGTGACTCTGTGCTGGCTCTGACATCTCTGTT